TATTAAAATCATTAGTCATCTTAACTATTAGTAATAAATATAACTTAACTATTAGTAATACGGCTTACAATAATTTACAACGATAAAGATAAACCATACAGAACAAGAAATGTGGGATGAATGATTCGCCATTCTTACTTTCGATATTCATATTCTCATGTTGTTCTTATTCGTTTTTATTAATAATCCTTATGATGGCTTATATCTGATGCCCTTCTTATCACATTTCCTATCTTGCCTTTGTTCAGTCTCCTTAGATTCTTATGGTAACATTGTAAATTCATGAATCATTTTCTTTTCGTATTTTAAACTCTTTTTCTTTTCGTGATTATCTAATCGCGACAGGGTTGTATCACTATTGATCAATCTGTACATTCCTATAGCAGTATCAGGGTTACCATGTTCAAACTAACGGTGTCCTCAGATCTGCTCAGTAACATGGCAATTTCTTCACTCAGTTGCATTCCTCAGATTCTTTAGATTTAGAGAAATATATATTTTGAGGGCCGAGTATGCAGATGTAGCTGATTTTCTAGATGTATCGGACGTAGCTGGGCGGTGCTTTCAATACATTGTATCACCATTGATCAATCTATACGTTCCTGTAGCAGTATTAGGATCACCATCTTCAAACTCACCGTGTCCTCAGGTTTGCTGATCTATTGAAAGTACGAATAAGATCTCGTACTTCCGGTTTCCAAAACTGAGCGGATAAACGCTTAGCGTCATACCCGGTTTACTCGCTAATTCGATAATTCAGTGTTATGTGTCGTTCTCAATTAGTTACTTCATATTATTTGTCTCAATTAGGTATTTGGTATTATTTGTCTCAATTATGTTCTATTTTGAAGATCGGAGACCACCAAATAATGAATAATGAAATGTTGAAATAATGAAATGCAGTGTCGAAAAAGTGCATTCAAATATTTTATTGTTCCATAAATTGTTCAACGTAATTGAATTTGAAAACGCATTTGGATAAATTGAAATTTTTTTTCTAAATTTCAAGTTTTCTCCATTACAATTTGAGAAATAATCAACATATAAAATGACATTTGTTGAATAATGAAAATATTACATGGAATAAAGATGTGTTATAAGAATTTAGTGTATGCACAATAGTACTTGAACAATGAAAGCTGGGTTAAACTAATTAAAAAATCTCTTTCCAAATATAATTCATTTTAAAAACAAGATCGATTAACAGAAGTTGAAAAGCGGGCGTATCACTCTCTGTTCTGGCAAGGAGGTAAAAAAGCTCTGCGGAAATTTAAAAAATGGGTCTAAGCGGCGACAAGCATCAGCTCTGAATCGAACATGAGTCTAATATATCATTCGGTTAGTTTTGGAAGTGCTTTGATATTGAGTCAAAATTCAGCCTTTTCTCTGCAATATATTCTGAGATCAACCAGTCAACATCCACTCAAATGAACACGTTTGAGACGGTATGATATCAGTAACAATGTCGCTAATTCTCATCTATGGTTGAATCTCGGTGAGATAGCTGCAGGTTTTTGCTTCATTCCAATAACCAGAACAATTTCTGCCATTTTAACACGTGCTTTGATCAGATTCTTCGCTTAGGTCCGTTTTCCAACTTTTGTTTCATTTACTCATTCAATTACTTCACCTAGATTTACTCATCATCATTCATATCATACAAGAATTTTCGTCACTAATAACTGCTAAGCAGATAGTTGCTCCAATAACTAACAGCAACATTTCTAATTTCTCTGAACTGAGTTCACGACCCAGTCAAGTAACGAAGTGAATCAGCCGTTTACAAGAGTCCCACATTCCAATTAATGCAGTTGAGGGGTTAACCCATTCGGAAAATTTGAGAATTATTACTCTCTTAAGAGAACGATTGAATGCAACTGTTGTTTATGATCTGCCTAGCATTGAACAGAACCACTCGATTCAACAAAAATATTATGCTTTATTCGGCTATCTTCTTGTTTCTCAAACACCTTCGGCTTATAATAAGCCACCAATGTCGCAATACAACAGTCATGAAAATAATATCGCTTTAATGAACTTATTAATGTAGTGAAATTATTAGTTATATTAACAGGAATAACATCAGTGATGACCACAATTGTAATATCATTAACAACATCATCCAGAATAATAATAATAATAATAATTTCACTGACAACAGTAATAAAGCAGTGACAATGATAGTCACAAGTAACAATGACAACAGCAATGAAAAATAAAAATTGATTGAGCAAAGAAGCGCATGCGTCCGCGTTTAATGAGATCGACCACGACCGCAATCACATTTAACTCAGACCGCGATAAAGTACAAATGTTCGATTATGAAACAAAGGTAACAACATTACAATTTGGGTGAACAACTTCAAAACAGAATCGATTCCTTGTTGACTGTTTTGCAAGAAAGAAAAAGAGTGAATAAATTAGGAATGAAAAGAAATATGAAAATGAGTGATTAAAGAGAGAGTATTTCATATTCATTCAGGCATCCGACGAAATCACTTTCCGAATTCATTTTTCAATTTAATACGTTTAAATTAATTCGAATTAGAAATAACTTCAATGCAAGATCACAAAATTTTTAGTCGAATCATCATGGAGACTTCCCATACCACATACCATTACAGATCACAAGAGCGTTAAACGTTTCGATAACAAATCAAGAAAAGATTAATAACAGTTAGAAAATAATCAGGCATTTCAGTCGACAGTGAATTCATTCAATTCCTCATGCAAAAATACTCAATTAATGCACTGCTGATTATGTTCGCTGTTTCGTGATATCATCACCACAGAAACTGATTGATTCATTTCTTCACTTGACAATTTCCTTCTTAAGTCTCGAAAATGAATATCACTACCGAAAAGAACATATAAAAAAGACATGTGGGTCGTGTACACATATCGAGATCAATCAGAACGTTATTAACGATAATATCATGCAAAAAACTAATACTTTCATCTCAAGGTGTGATTCTATTAACTTCATTGGTACAATAACTTCCAAAAAAAAACATGTTGAAAAACTCAATTCACAAATATTCACTTTTATAACCCAAAAAAATCAGACGTATCTGAAGCATTTTTGATGATTCGGTGGCAATCGCGTCTTGAACAGAACTGAATCAACACGAAATTGGGAGAATAATAACGGATTGTAACCGAACACCTTAGAGAAGAAACGAATACACTCGTGTCGTTCCTGGAAATGCGACGAATCTTGCGACAACATTTCACTGCATGTTGGACATCTGAAATTACTGATTGAATCATTTCGGTATAGATGAACGGAAAAGTATAATAATCATCATGATAACACCAACAATTCTAAAAAACAAATTAAAGTAACAAATTTTACAACGAATAGTAAACTGATGACAGGAGAGCAACCTCAACGTCCATTTGCTGGTTGTTTTCAGAGGCGGTTGTCTGGTGATGTGTGCAACCAGAAAATTCATAGCGAGATCCTCACAGTTCATCAGTTCGTCCACCTTGGAACGTATCACTGCCGGTAGACGATATGTGTACAAATACATGTACGCCTGCAATATCATCTGACTGCTAAGTTCTTCAATGATTAACGAATCATTCGAATATAATCAACAAATATATTCATCAATTCAATCCCACGCCAACTCTATATTCGATCGAACAGGTACTCGTAGAATCACA